ATTATAAAATGTGCCAAAATGATAATTTGTTCGCTTTTGCATCTCAGTATATAAAAATGCTCAACCAATAATGACCCAATTCTCAATATGAAAATATAATTAACTATTACTCACCAAGCCGCTCTAAGACTTTAGCTACAGCACTCACCTGAAAAGAAAACAGAATTAATACGAAAGATACGAATCTAAAAGCATTAACATACAACATACTTAGGTTCCATCAATATAGAAGCATAATCACCGTTTTTTTACCTGATGTGCTGTGTTTAATTGGGCACAAAAAAACTCGTGATAGATTGAGTAAATGACGCCAAAATTGACTCACTTCCGTTCTACTTGCAACTACCTGAAATACATAAAAGGTGTCGTCCTCGTCCATAAATTACCACACAAGTCGATGGTACACCACTAACCGTAATGGTGCTACCAGAAAACCAGTATCTCTTGAAGGATCTATTTTGTGTAAGGTATACAAGACCCTCAAACCATCAACAAAATACCCAAAACAAGTAGTCCAGGTAATATCTTCGAATCTGCTAGGAAAAATATTCTGCATAGATTTTTTTGCATACGCTTTCAACGACGTAGCATGTCTAAATTGCATCAAACATTGTTCAAACGCTTTTTTGAACAAGTTTAAAAAATTGTTATTTCTTTCGCTCTAGACAAAGATTTCTTTGAACTTTTGGATCATCACAGAAAAGGTTCTTATGAACTATTTCCCAAATTTGATAGTTTTCAAGATATTAGATAATATTTGAAAATATGTGTGAAAACGAAAATTTCCATGTTGCCAAAGTTCCTGAATATTTTTCAAGTATTCATTAACAGAACGTGTATTGTGGAAGCTTTGTTTTTAAGTGTATGCATACTCTGCGTAAGCGTGTGCGCTTGATTGACCACTTTATACCCGTCAAAATGATCGATCTGGCAACATTAAAATATTTTACTTTTTACTTCCTACGCCTACTGGAGGAGAAGTATTGTAATCGTGAAAAATTTCGAAAAAGAGATGTTTTTCCGATGTTCTATGAAATGTGTGTATGTCGGTCTGTCCGCTAATCTCCTAACCACCTATAACTTGAGAAGTACCGATGAAATTTTTACACAGTGTTGCTACCATACCACATAATAATAATAATAATAATAATAATAATAATATTTATTCACTCAATGTACAAAGATAACAAACAATATGAGTAAATAAATATAAAATCAAAACAGGCCCAATAGAAGGCATCGCCTGTACATGGACCAATAATTTAAGTTGAAACTGTAGAATGCAAATGACAAAAAAGGACAAAAATTAGCTACAGTAGATTATGTATTTAGTTGATGTTCGTATTTATGAGTTTATGAATTTGAGTCCTAGATATAGAATTTGAAACAATTTCCGAAACGTAAATCTTTTAAGTCTTTAGGTATAATTTCATAAAATTTAGGCGCTAAATAGAGATATGATCGTTGCATTATAGATTTATGCGGTTGAGGAACTACTGTGCCACGAATTTTGTACCTGGTATAATGATTATGTTTAATTTTTTGGTCGGTGTTTACAAATTTATGGTAGTGAGTGATACTGTGTAAGAAATAAAGCTGTCTTATATCATACATTCGAACATCTGCGTATAATTTTTCAGTGGGATAAAGTTTCGGTTTTTTTAAATATCATTTTTAGAATACTTTTTTGAAAAACATCTAAATTATAGATATGTGAGGAACATGCAGCTCCCCATGCTAATATACCATATGTGAGATGAGGCTCAATCAGTGCATGGTATAATGTTCGAAGATATTTTTCTGTCAATATATTCCCAAGATATTTAATTTTGTAGGATACAAATCTAACTTTCTTTAAAATATAATTGACATGGATGTCCCATCGTAAGTGAGGATCCAAGACCACTCCAAGGTATTTTATGTTGGGCACTCTATTAATTTGCATTTTTTGATCATTAATATTGAAGGAGAAATTTGTGTAATTTGGCAGATGTCTAGCATAAGATCCAAATGGTAAAAAATGTGTTTTAGAGTAGTTAATGCTTAATTTTCTACTGTTAAACCACTGAATAATTTTGATAAAATCATTTTCAATTACATTTTTCAGATCAGACCAGTCAGTGCCTTCATATAATATTGCAGTATCATCTGCAAAACTAGTTATTTTGCCAACACAATTAATTTGGAAAATATCATTTAAATATATATTGAACAACAGCGGACCTAAGACAGTTCCTTGTGGGACACCACACTTAATATACATTTCTTTACTAAATGATCCTGATATCTGCACAGATTGTGGGCGATTTGACAAATAACTTTCGATCAGTGAGTACGCGTTTCCTCTGAAACCAATTCTCTCCAATGCTTCTAATAATAATTTGTGATTAACTGTGTCGAAAGCTTTCTTTAAATCAACAAAAATGCAGATTGAACGAATTCTTTTATCAATATTTTGATATATTTGATTTACAATTTTAGTTATTGCGTCCGATGTAGCCTTCCCTTCTGTAAATCCATATTGATTTTCACGTAAAATTTTGAATTTTGTGAGGTATCGAATCATTCTAGTAGATAAAACTTTTTCAAAAACCTTTGCTACACTGGATATTATTGATATTGGTCTATAGTTGTTGATATCTGTTTTTGTTCCTGGTTTATGTATCGGTATTTTATTACCTTTTTTTAAAATTGAGGGATATATGCCAGATTCAAAGCATTTGTTGATTAGGTAAGTGAGTGGTTCTGTTATGTCCTCGGCTATAATTTTCAAATGCTCGCTTTTAATACCATCGAACCCAGGACTTTTCCGATTTTTTAAGGACATAACAGTGGTGTATACTTCACATTGCTCGACATTATCCAAAATAAATGAGTTCAAAGTTCTTTTTGGAGGCTGAGTATTTTGTACATTTGCTTGTATATTACTTGCTAAATTTTCGCCTATGTCAGTAAAGAATTGTACAAATTCATCGCATATCTGTTGAGTATTTTTTAATACTGTTCCCGATGTTGAATTTAACTCAGTGACACACTCTTTAACTTTTGTTTTCCCAGTAATCTCATCAATAGTTGTCCAAAGCCGCTTAGGATCATTTAAGTTATGATTCAATTTATTTAGGTAATGTTTTCGTTTGGTTTGCCTTAGAAGCTCTATAAATTTATTTTTATATTGGTTGTAGCAGTCGGTATTCTCTGTAGTTGGCGTTAGTTTCATTACATTATATAGTCTTTCTTTTTCTATTGCCGATGTTATTAATCCTTTAGTAATCCAGGCATTTCTGCTTTTCTCTTTGTGACTAATTATTACTTTATTGGTACTAATATCTATTAGTTTTTTTATTTTCTCTATGAACAGTCCCATTGCTTTGTCTATATTATTTATAGAGTATAATTGTTCCCAGGATTCTTGTTTGACATTTGATATTAGTTTTGAATTGTCGACAAAAAATTTGTAATTTTTCGGGTTGTTATTAACGGTAGGGATGTTAGAATGTTTTTCATTCATTTTCAAAAATTTGATATATGTGTTAAAACTTAGGGGTTGACGGTCGTAGGGAGTAGGGGGTGCTGATCCTGGTAACAACGGGAAAATTAAATGATAAGGTCCGATGTATAAACTCCAACTTGATCTGCGGTGGTGTCGTCACTGACACACCGCTACAGGAGAAATATTTATATATTTTCACAACATTTGGACATTATCGTAGTACATACCACTTTAGCGTTCTGTGATACTTTTGTAAATGATGACTTAATTGCTTTTATATCTACACCTTAATTTTATGATCCTGTATACCACCCATTTCGCCTAGCCTTTAATTTGTGTTATCTGTCAAGTAGATTGACTCAGTACTTATTACAAATTGATATACAACAGACAAGGACTGACAAAACGACATAAATGAGGAACCAAGACTTGTGTGCGGATATCTTTAAGCAACAGAAAACTTGTGGACAGAAGTTCGATTACTATAGCAAGTTTTATACTTCCATCGTTTAGGTAGTCGTAGGTTTTGAAACTTAACGTAAATAAAATCGCTGTATACAAGTGATACAAAGTTTCAGAAATTCCTGCTCATTTTCAGACATGTAGAAAATTGTATAGTAGAAGCTGTATGCGGTAAATGGTTGTGAATTGTTACATATTTGGTACCAGTGATAGACCTGCTATTATTAAGAAGCTGCTGATCTCAGTGATACTATGTACCTGTTACGACATAATAAGTCACACATATTTACCCTACATCTGCCATGGAAACAGAAATATGATAGATTTGCTTGATATAGCTTGACATGCAGAGGTCGAAGATTCATCAGAAATAATAAATCACTTATACAGGGTGTTCCTTAATGATACGCGAATATTTAAGTGTGTGTATCTACATGAAAAACTGATGTTAGTTATAAACTATGGTCCAAACATATTTCCTTACAAAAACTCGGGGTGTTGAAGTTTTACGAAAAAAATGGAAATTAATATTTTCAGAACCGCGCCAGATATTTCACTGATATCTAGTACGTAGTGAAAGTTAATCAAGTTGCACCCGTACGCACGCCACTGTTAAAGCTAAAAATTGTTTTTGCATTGAAAAATATGCAATTTGCAGACAAAATGGACATCTTCCTGAATATGAATCCTGAGTCCATCCCTTCCCCAACTCTTTTTTGAAAAATTCATCATATGAACCGCTCCAAAAATATTTTCAAGATCCGCCCCTGACCTTGGAGATATCAAAACACCACAAAAGTTCATTCTTTCAACCCTTATACCTGCTTTCCTGTGTGCATGTTTGACATTCAACAAGTGCATGAGTCACGTCAATTTGGGACTCCCCGTAAAAGTGCTAGAGACCGTAAAACGTTTTTCAACAGGATCATTATCATTGCTTCGGTAATTGACTAATTTTATGTCGCAAACGTCGCCAAGGTAGACGTGCTTATAAAAAAGAAAGAAACCAGGTTTCTCCGATTTTGCAGGTAGGTAAAAGTGAACTTACCGGTCGGGGTGCGCATTAATCCTCGGACCAAAACGCTTTTGTTTGATCATGAACTGTAAATAAGAACACGTTTTTCGTCGATTTATACACCGCAGATAATAAGACTGTCACTGACAGGAGTAATAGCAGTATTGAACCCAAGTTTCCGGTGACTTCTCGGAGGCACAGCCGAGACAAGGTGAATACAACCAAACACTGCTTCTAACGTTTCAAATAAGTAGGATAATTTAGTAAGGTATCATTAGAGGGACTGGAAAACACGTAACAATAAAACGCTTTGTCAGAAAGCTAACCGTCAACAATTGTCATTGCTACTAAAAGTCGAAACGTTTGTGTAAAGTTACAGAATATATTAATTTGATGTTAGGACCTAAAAAGGTATCAAGCTACTCAATCGGTTATGACACCACGAGTTTCGGGAAACTACCAAAATAGGTTGCATATAATAGATCAAAATAGTCTATAAGCGAGGGTCTATTTTAAGCGAGTCTATAATATCCAAGGATTTTACGTGCAATTATTTATAGGACCTTAAATTGTGTCCATTATATACGGGTTTCCATTATAAGCAAGTTCATTATAAGTGGATTCCACTGTACTACTCAAAAAAATTAAGGGAGCAAGAAAAACGTCCAAATTTTTCAGTGATTTTTCACAGGTTGTATTGCGGTGAAAAATGGCTCTTGCAATGCTCTCATTATGGCAATACAGTTTTGTTATTTCTACCATTTCTTCTAATGAATAAGTCATTGTTCAATATTTATCACAACAAAGTTTTTCTATGAGAACTGACTGATGCTAATTGTTCTTGCTGGTATCCATGATTATTATTTTTTGCCGTGCATTTCATTATTATCAGTATTAAGTTAGTCGAATTTTATTATAAACTCAAAATAGCTTCACAACGATTGAAGATAGTTATAAACTTTATTATACAAAAAATACTAACACTTCATGGACAATGTAAAAATAAAAAAATGAGGGGGTTCCATTTAAAAAGGTAAAATGTAACGCAATATCTCATTTTTGGATCACCATGTATTGTACGGCTGTAGATGAAAAGACGTACCACTAGAAGGAGAGCCACAAATAGGGGTGCGACCTTTTCGTCGGGCCACCCTGTATGACTTTGAATGAAAAAAGATCCTTTTGTCATCGATCACTGATATCTCGGTAACCATTGATCGCACAGAGAATGTAAGGGTATTTCCGAAAACTGGAATAAACCTCCTATAAGATTTGATTGCAATTTTGTTTTGTTTCCTAGACTCAACGAACAGTACAAAAAGCAAGGTCAGTCTAGTCGTGAGGTCAAGTATCCCCGAAAAAACTTGTGTTCTAGGTATCGTGGGGTGTAAAATTCGTACGGTCAACAGTCAGGTTGTCAAATACGTTCACATTCCTTTTTTACGATTAACCACACCACAATAGGAAACAAAACCTCCCAGGTAGCGTTGACTCGTGGTAAAAAAATGTCTAAGCAGGAAGTCTCGTCTTATCTAAGTAAGGGACCCACTTCCATAAAAATAAAAGCGCCTAAAAGCCGAAGGAACTGAATATTGGATATTAAGTTTTCTATAGGAACCATATCTATCCATTCATAAATGTCTAGCCATTAAATTTGTGATTGCAGTAAGCTTATATCCTATTACTTACCTAATAAAATTGCCGCCTGTAGACGTTGTTTTCGTAATTCTTATACAGGGCGGTGCATCGAAAACGAAACAGACGCATTTACTGGCAGCTCAGTTTTTTTTTTGGAAAACGCTCAGACCCGTCGATTTTGTTTTCGAGGGAGACACAAGTCTGGCAAAAAATCACGTTAGCACGTGCAGCCCCCTAAGCGGGGGTGACACCACCCCCAAAATCTTAAATGGAAAGGGCGGTCGAGTGATACCTTATTTTAAAGGTCTTTCAATTCCCTTTATAATGATATAAAATTAATGTACTTCAGTTCAGTAGTTTTGAAGATTTATTGATTTAAAGCTTAAATAAAACTAATACATCATCATTAGTGGAGATCAATACATTTGGCAGCAAAGTAATTTAAAAATGAAGAATGAACTGACCCGTTACGCAAGTAAATGTTGAAAATGGCCACTTTGACTCTCTATGCAATAATAAAGATTTTGCTCAAAACGTTGCCGCACATTTGGCAATATTTGAGGAGTAATTTGAAGGCACTCATTCACAATTCTTTGTCGCAGGTCTTCTAATGATGTGGGCTGAGTAGCATAGATTTTGCTTTTTAAATGACCCCACATAAAGAAATCCAAAGGTGATAAATCTGGCAATCTTGGGGGCCATTCAATGGCACCTCTTCTACCAATCCATCGATCTGGAAACGTCTGATCTAAATATTGTCGAACACGTAATGCGTAATGTGGTGGGGCACCATCCTGTTGGAACATCAACATATTCACAATGTACCGCCTATCATTCTGATTTTCAATTATGGATGTTAATGCAGGATCTATGGCGTCTTCCAGTAATTCCAAATACATTTTACCGGTCAAATTTCCAGGTGAGAAAAAAGGACCAACTAAATGATCGCCAAAAATACCAGCCCAAACATTTAATTTTTGTGGCTGCTGTGTATGAACCTCATGATAAATTCTGGGATTAGAATCGGACCAATATCGGCAGTTATGACGATTCACTACGCCATTTAAGAAAAATGAACATCCGTCGGGAAAGCAAGTGTTGAATAGAAAATGTTCATCGTTTATAATTCGTTCACTCATATCTTCACAAAATTGTAATCACCGATGAAAATCGTCTTCATTAAGTTCTTGTACCAGGTGAATTTTATACGGGTGAAAACTATGGGTCTCTGGAATCCGTTGGACCTTACGTGGGCGAACACCACACACAGTCTCCAATTTGCGGGTACTTAACGTAGGATCTACATAAACTTTCCCTAAAACCCCCACTTCTATTGCTTCGTTCCTTATGGGATTTTCAGTGTTGCGTTTTTTATTGGCTACTGACCTACTTTCCCGAAATTTGGCTACAAGTTCTAGAACATATTTTCGATGCACGTTACTGTTCTCATGTCGCTCATTAAATATTTCTGCTGTTCTATTAGCGCACTGATCATTTCCGAAAAATATTTCGATAATTTCAACTCTTTCTGCTGTGGAATATACCATGGTTAATTTATGTAATAAAGCGTTACAAGTTATTTTAGCAACAAAGTTTGGTCAAATCAATCGCAAACTATGTACTAAATTCCTATTTAAAATAAGTACGAGGTATTTCCTTATCTTTCTTCAAGAAATAACTTTTTTGCCACAGAAAAACGCCCCAATAGCTATTTTCAACAACAAAATGATAAACAAACCATGGGCGTAGTGAAGAATCGCATTTACTTATTAAGTAAATTCTTTTAGTCAAATTTCTTCTGAAAGTAGTACAAACTAATCTGATGTACCTATTAAAGTCTACTTTAAGCTTTAAATCAATACATCTTCAAAACTACTGAACCGAAGCTCATGTATTTTACATCATTATAAAGGGAATTGAAATACCTTTAAAATAAGGTATCACTCGACCCCCCTTTCCATTTAAGATTTTAGGGTTGGTGTCACCCCCGCCCAGGGGGCTGCACGTGTTAACGTGATTTTTTGCCAAACTTGTGTCCTCCTCGAAAACAAAATCGACGGGTCTGAGCGTTTTTCCAAAAAAAACTGTGCTGCCAGTAAATGCGTCTGTTTCGTTTTCGATGTGCCACCCTGTATATTCTTTTAATTGCTCCCATTATATCTGGATATTTGTATGCAGACATGTCAGACAAATGTATCAAATACCAAATAGAATGGATGCGTCTTGTACCGCCCAATGAATGTACCTTTAAGGACTTCTCATACATTTTGTAAGAAAATTGAGACGTTTTCACAGAAACACAAGAAACAACGTGTGAAACGGTTTTTCAATTTCTTTCTGAAAATAAAATGTCGAAACCGAAGTTTGAACGATCTTTTTTTTCTAACTCCCTTGTCACTGGACTGATCTTCAAAAACTATAAAGCTAAAAATGGACACATTTTCAGGAACATTGTTGTTGCACTTTTACAGTCATGCAAATTTTCACCCGCCACTGAAGTACTGTTGCTAAAATAGAGATATCATCTACAGATCTATAGCATAACGTTAAAAGCATACGATAGGTGAAGGTCCAGTTCAAGTTTACTTCCTTTTGGCACTCCTGCGTTTGTTTCTCTCAGCTCTTTATATGCTACTCCTTGTACAGTACTGAAATCTTTTTATGAAACGTATAATTTCATAATACTTGCGCAATTGCTCGTATGGGCTTGCTTCGAAATAATGAGTATTGGTTAATGGATTAGACCTTCGTCTAGCATAGTGGACATTACATGCAGTTTTTTTATCTTCCTACAGATAACCTCCTCACTCTGTACAAGACCCAAATAAGACCCAGCCTCCAGTACTCTTCACATGTTCGGGATTCTGTCGCTCGGACTGCATTATCCATGCTCGATGCTGTTGAGAGGAGGGCTATTCGACTGATGACTCATCTCTCACGGACTCTTTCGCACCGGATCTCCTCTACCACTATGCCATCGGGTTTTGCCCCTCCCGCCTAACTGTGTCAAACTTCATACATCCAGAACTGGCCGAGATGACCCCTCCTTTGTCCGAATGGTGTCGAGATTGTGAAACAATCTAGCTGAGGAGGCTTCTCCCAGTTCGACTGACCTTAGGCGGTTCAAAAATCGGATTAACAAAGTATCTTTAAGCTCCGGCTCCCTGGCATTTAGGCTGCTGCCTGCGCGGCTGCTTCGGTGTAACAAAAAGCATATCATTTTACTATATCAAGTATTTATTGGAAAGTCGCCAAAGTGTCCCCTGTACCAAATATCTGGGTACAACAATTGATAGACATCTCAATTGGGATAAACATGTTGCACGACATGCTAATAGCATATTCGAAAACTTATTCCTAGATTCTATACTCTAAGGCATATTTTAAGCAAAAAAATCTTGATATAAAGCCCTAGTAGAATCTTTGATAAGATATGGAATTCCTACCTGGGGTGGTCTGTATAACAATGTGGAAATTAACAGTGCAGAAACCATACGTATAGAATTTAAGATAGGTGGAAAAAATTATCTTTTAGTTAATAGTTATCGTTCGCCTTCTGAGAGTGTCACTT